GGGCGTGGCGTGTGTCGGGGGCGTGGCGTGTGTCGAGGGCGTGGCCCTCCGTATAGAAGGTCTGGGGCTTTGGAATAACGGTCACTTCCTAAGAGCTCTAGAGATGAAGGCGCTTATCAGGAGCCACCAGGGTGCACTGCGGTGGGGCGGCCCCGAGTTCTCATCCCAAGCCCACTGAAAGGAAGACAGGTGCAGAGCTGGGGGACCGCAGTTGGGTCCGTATTCACAGGAACCTTAAAGCCATGTCTGCCAGTCAGGCACTCAGATCGTGTGCAGCAGTTTGCACAGGCGCCTCCAGGGGTGCCTGCAGCCTTTGGAACAATCCCCCTCCTCCCTAAGACCCAGCCAGCCGGCCCTGCGCACAGGCCAGGTCTTCCCCCAGCGCACGATCACTTCTGCTGAATAGATGTGCTCCCCACACACCTGGACGAACCAGGTGCTGGGCGGCACACCGCGTTCGCCCAGGCTGGCCCTGCAGGCTGTGAGCAGCGCGCCTGCTGCTGCACCCCCAGGCCTTGGCGGGATCCACAGCGTTCCCCTCCGCTTGGGCTTCCCTGGAAGTCACCCAGGCCTCTGTGGCTGTTCTGAGTCATGACAGCTGCCACCTGGCTCCCAACACTACACAAGACAGGGAAGGCAGCCTGCTGTTTTTTTTTTTTTTTTAAATTTTATTTATTTATTTATGAGAGAGAGAGAGAGAGAGAGAGAGAGAGAGAGAGAGCAGCCTGCTGTTTTGATCAGAGAGGAGAGGGCTACACAGCCCTCTCAAGAAGAACCCAGATCCCTGAACCCTAAGGCCATGGTGGACACCTGTGTCGGCTAGAACTAGGTCTGGCCTCAGAGACAGGAGCCCCAACAGGGACCTGCGCCACAGGGAAGGCTATGCAGGGCATGTACTGTACCGTTCGCATTGCACTGATGACCTTCCGAGGAGGGGACAGAAAATATCTTAGGGAACAGGGACCTTTTCTAGTTCTTACAAAATCCCCATGGAGGTTAATACAATACTATCCTGAGGTCTCTTCATAATCCAAAAGGGCTGCTGATGCTCCAGCCATCGCTCCATCATCCTGACGGCAGGGAGAAAGGGGAGGGGAGAGAGAGCACAGTTCCACGAGGAGGAGGAGCTTCTTAAATAAGAGACTCCAGGAAGCCCCACCAACATTCCCGTGTCTATCTCAGTGCCACACACACCCGTGGCAGGCGCCTCTTAGGTGACCCCCGCCACCTCCAGGCTTGTGTGGGCTCTGTAGCAGTGAGTGACCCAGGTAAGGCCCTTCCAGTTTCACAGCGAAACTCAGAGACTGCCTCAGCCGACTCAGCGCGGCAGCGACGCCGCACTCCCGGGGGCTTCAGTCCTCTGCTTCCTTCCCATTTCTAGATTTGGTTCTACACCAACAGCATCTTCCGCGAAGCCGGGATCCCTCCGCGAAACATCCCCTACATCACCCTGAGCACAGGCGGCATCGAGACGCTGGCTGCTGTCTTCTCTGTGAGTCCCCCTGGGCCCCGCCCACGAGTCGGTGACCTCTGGCTCAGTGTCCTCCAACACGGCCCCACGGGGACGTGTTGCCCATCCGGGACCTCCCGTGCGTGCTTCCTTGCCTGGGGTCTGCCCACTGAGCGCAGCTCCCTACCTGGAACGGTCCCCTGGCAACAGTGACACGGCATGAGCCTGCGGAAGAGGCCACATCCACCCTGGGGATGCAGAGGGGAGACCCCTGGGGGCCGCGTCACCTTCCTTACCCGTGGTCCTCCTGTCTCCCAAGCCTGCAGTACTTCACACAATAACGGAGTGGCGGGCCTGAGGGCCACGTCTGTGTCCCAGCACTCGGGAGGCTGAGGCAGGAGGATCTGCTTAAGCTTGAGGTCAATGTGTGCTACACAGTGAGACCCTGTCTCAGAAAAATAAACATTCGTTCCATATTTGTAATAGATACAAAAAAATGCAGAGGTGTGTTTGGTTTTCCCCCTACCACTTCACAGTCTTTTTTTATTTTATTTTACTTTATTAGAGAAAATGTTTCAATGTTTCATAAAATGCCTGTGTCAAATTATTGGCCCAGCCCAGTTGTTATGATTAGCTTTTTTTTGATCAGCAGAATAGTTGATCTAGGGTGAAAATTATTGGGAAATGCAAGGGTTCTTTGGACTTTGTGTTTATTTTTGTATTTTATTGCTATAAGAAATCAATACCAGCTTGTTGGAGTAAATTTGTGAAGTTCAGAGAGAAATGAAGAAGAAATCACTCCCAGTCTACCACCCAAGGAGATCTGGCGAATCTTGCTTGTATTAGTTCTCTGCATAGGTGCACGTTTTATCCTTAGACCATGGTAATCCTAATCCTATATGCCAGCTTTAATCCTGTTATTCATGTAATCCCCTGTCATAACAAGGCCCACTGTATTACTGATTCAGAATTTTTTAGTGAAGTTGCCAGGTGGTTACACGTGCCTCCCTGGGACCAGCTGTCCCACAGGACTGCCAGGAGGCGGCGGCCAGGAAGGTAAAGGCCGAAGAAGCAGCGTGACCAGGGAGGAGGGCAGAGAGCTCAGGGAAGCCCACTCCTGCCTGCCACTTGAAGGCAGAGCTGTCGTGGACACACTCGGCAAAGTGCCGCATCCACCCCAGTTCCTGGGGGCTGCGAGGGCCACGCTGGGCACCTCTGAGCTCACAGCCCTGTCATTCCCATGCCAGCTTAGCAGTCGGCGAAGACTGCCTGGTGTCTGAGCACGTTTTGCTCCTCCAGAGAGTAGGTGTGCCTGTGTCCATCCGGGGCAATGAAATGGCAGCCTCATTCCTGGGAACCACGCGTGTGTCCCCCTACGCAGCAGAGAGGAACTGTGCAAATGCGATCCAGCCCAGGACGCTGCGAGGGGAAGCTGGTGCTGATGGCCTGGGGCCCTCGACGGAACCGTAGGGGCCTCTTGAGTGAAAGAGCGACACAGAAGGGAGGGGAGGTAATCGTGAAAGAGGAGGCCCGAGGGACACCATCACGGGCTTTGAAGGTGAGGGACAACTAGATAAGGCAGAACCTGAGGGAGCCTTGCAGAGTTGCTGTGGAAATAACGTGCCCTGTGGAGGCCAGGGCCTCCTCCTGACAGTACCACGGGCTCCCGGAAGTCCACGGGACTGTTTCCATGCTGCCCTTGGAGAGCGTCGCCCAGCAGAAAGGACTTCCGGGTGGTTGGTTTTTTGTTGTTTTTCCTTCTGACAGTCTATTACGATGGTCTGAGGTCTGACTGAGAAGGGAGATGTGTTTTAGTTCATTTGATCTGCAGTTTACAGAGACTGAGGGTGGCTGTAAATAATCACCACCTCCTCGCAGAGCAGCTGGTTTCCTCTCCAAATTGACCAGGGCTTTCCTAGTGCTGTGCCAGCCGCAGGCGCCTGGCTACTGGGACGTGCAGCGACGCCTGTTCTCATCCCAGTGAGGAGTCTTCCTGCAGTCACCACAGGACTCTGTAGGGTTGACGTTTCTGCAGCCCACAGTGGCGCTGCCTCCCAGCTAACTCCACCACTCAGTGCTGGGCCCAACCCACGTCAGAGAAGAACACTGGCGGAGAGGACCATGGTCCTGCGCTTACCCAGGGTGCTGCAGGCCTCAGAGTGCAGCAGGTGCTCTGTGGATGTCCCCGTGCTCATGCGGTCAACTGTGGCTCTTTGAAGGTCATGATTAAAGTCCCTGTAGCACAGAATGTGCCCTGCTGTGGAAACGGGGCCCCGGTGGGTGTCATGAGCCTGGGTCGGATGACGTCACCCTGGAACCGGCTGGGTCCCTGCTCCATCTGACTGTTGCTGGATGAAGGGGAGTAAAGAGCCCCACTGCCCAGAAGAGGACCCCGTGCAGTACTGGCACTTTGCTGCCAAGGGACAGGAAATGCCAGAAGGAAGGAGCAGGGTGGAGCGAGTCCTTGGGCGCCTTTGGAGGTGGCACAGCCTGCCCAAGCCTTGATCCCCCACCACCAGGCTCCTGACTCTGACATGGTTCCTTGCTGGTGTTTGGGCCACCCTAGGGTTTTGTTCATTGTTTGGGTTTAGTTTTTTCCTTTTTTGTTTGGTTTTTGAGACACACTCTCACTGTTGTTCAGAATGGCCTGGAACTTACTATTCTGCCTCAAACACCACAACCCTCCTGCCTCAGCCTCCCAAAGCTGGGCTGATAGACCTGCACAGCTGGCTGTGAGGCTTTGTTACACCAGCCTTTAGGCGTCACACCACGGAGTATAACTCTTAGTTACTAATATAGTAACACGTTAATTCACAGACATTTCTGTTCAAGAAAGAACCGCTTCCGTTTGTGAACTCAGGCACTGGGTGGCAAACTCAGCTGCAGCCATCTTCCCCAGAGTGGTGGAACAAGTTAAGAGTGTGAACCGAGGGACAATTTATTTCTAAAACAGACAATGCTGAGATGCCTGGCCACCTCACAAAGCCTAGAAGAGGAAGCTGCAGCAGGGCGTTTCCTTCTCCCCAGGTCAGCAGGTGCAGGTTGGGCTCCTGCTCTGGGCCAGGCATCGCTGAGACAGAGAAGATCCCTGTCTTGGAGCGGGACACGCCTTACAGGGGAGGGAGCACAGACAGGGTGGAGGAGGTGAAGGGCACTGTGAGGAGGATCAGGACTAGGAGCGGGGTCTGCGGTGTCCCTACCTCACTCCGACACCTGACCCAGAGGAACACTCCAAGGGGACTAAGCAGCCCGAAGAGAGGCCCACTGCAAGCATCTGAAGATGGATCTGTTCAGGAGGGGTCAGGGATGAGAGTGCTTGGGACCACTCGGGGGCTGTGACCTCAGAGGGGACAGCTGGAGAGTGTCCTCGAGGAGGGAAGCCAGGGAGCCAAGCTCTGGCCCTGTGGCTAGGACGTGTCTCACTGTCTTGGGCACGCATGGAAGGGCATGAGGTGTTGACAGCTAAGCCCCAGGTCTTTGGCTGCTGTAGAGGAAATCCTCTCTCCACTCCCGAGTGGATCTGCCCAGCTGGAAGGGGCCCGGGCAGGCCCTCATGCCCACGAGCAGGGCAGCACCCACCAGGCTTGAGAAATCCCAGCCCAGGCCAAGGAGCTCTTCACAGTCTGTGCTGATGACACTGTGAGAAGCACCCATGTGCCCAGGGCCTGCAGGAAGAGCACACATCCATTGGAGCCTGCCCTGCTCTCCCAAGGGGCGTCCGCCCAGTGTGGGGCTGGCCAGGGGGCCCAGACTGTGGAGAGGCAAAGACAGCCCAGCACCCAGGCACAGCGCCTGCAGTTCTGTTCTCGAAGCCCACTTCCACCACCACCGCCACCGCCAGCCCGTGCACCCACTCCTCGGAGTAATGCTGCTCAGTCAGGTGCCTCTGTGGCTGAGTTTGGCCAAGGACAGGTCACACATCCGCAGCCTGCAGCCTGCCCTCAGAGACCCAGAAGTTGCTCCTGAGTCTTCATTTCCACCAGCACCTCCTCCCAGCTCTCTGATCAAGCCAGCAGCTTCCTGGGCCCTGACTGGGCCCTGGACTGCCCCAGCCACAGGAAGAACACCAGGAGTGGCTGGGGAGGGGGCGGAGCAGGCGCTCCCCACAGCCCCCCCCCCAGCCTCTGCTCTGTCCTGCCCACTCTAGGTTATCCGCACACCCAGTGTCTCTTTCCCTGCTCTTCTGCTGAAGAGCTTGGTTTAGGGGCTGGGGGGGGCGTAGTGAAGAGTGTAAAATTTATGCTCATGACTATCTCAAAAACAACTCTTCTCTTCTCTGGAGAGGGGTGAGAGGGCAGGGCTGTGTTCTGCTTGGAGCTTCTGAGGCTCTGACCTCAAGTGAAGAAGCCAAACAAGGTGTCCCAAGAGATACAGACATCACGAGAGTGTGAAAAATCCCTTGGAAACCTCCTCAGCGCCTCAGCTCCAGCCTTTGCTGCCACTCCGGTCGGCCCCGGTCTGTGTCTGATTTTGCGCTTTGGGTGATCTTAAGATCATTTAAATTTATTATACTTGGGGATCCTGGAAGCCCAGGAACGACAGGTGTTTTTTTTCTTACACCGTTGATACAAATAAATTAGGTGTACCATCTCTGTTACACACAGTCGTCTTTGTGTGTATGGCCTGAGAACTGAAGTCAGGGCCTCCTGGCTGAGCTATATCCCCAGACCTTTTTCTTTTCTTAAATTTTGAGACAGAATCTTGGTAAGTTGCTAAATTTTCCAGGTTGAGGTAGAACTTGCGATCTTCCTGCCTCAGCCTCCCAAGGTGCTGGGATTCAAGGTGTGCACACAGTTAAGCTGAAGTTCCTAAACAAGATTTATGTTTCAGTGACTTGTTTTTAATTTCAATTTAGAGTCTGTCTTGCGGGGAGACATTTTAGACACTCTGACTTCTGAAAAGACATCCTTTTTCAGTATCATTCTCTTGCAGGTAGCCCAGGCTTGCCAAGTCCTCAACGTCTCTGAGGAGCCAGATTGGCTTTCATTTTTAGAACAGAATTGCAAGAAGTGAAAGGCAGCCCTGGGCTGGAAATCACGCTGTTCTGTGCAGGGAGCCAAGTCAGTGACCCTCACACCACGCCCCTCCGCCCTCCACCCCCAGTAGCAGGCAGAACTCTGTCCCTGGCCCACTTCTATCTGGAGAGTCACCAGGGGTGGTCTGCATTCCAGAGTGCTGAGAGCAGACACTGGTAGGGGGTCTGTCAGCCTCATCTCAGTTTGCCCCTTAGACATCCTCTGTGGATTCCCAGCTGTCTTGCCCATATTGGTCACTGATAGGAAACACTAAACTGCCTTTAAATAGAAGTGGAAAAGTGTGTGTGTGTGTGTGTGTGTGTGTGCGCGCGCGCGTGTGTGCATACTGCCTTCACAGCGTTTCCCTGCAGTGCTTGGTCTGTACCTGTTTCACTCGGCTGGGCGCTAGCCCAGAGTAAGCGCTCCAAACCCACTTGCTTCCTGGAGTCAGGCTCAACTAAATCCCTTGGAGGAAACCGCCTGGCTCCCTGCAGAGGAGCCTTTGCCTCGGCCAGGCTCCACACCTGGGAGCAGTTAGGTAGAGGTGGGGTCCCAGCCTAAGGCAAGTCCCCCCACGCCGGCTCCTGGGCCCTGCACACACTCAGCCAAGTGACACACACATACAGGAGCAGCAAGTCAGCCAGCCCAGCTGAGCTGCAGGAATCAACAGAACAGGAACAAGCCAGCCTGGGGTGGACAGAGAGGCAAGAGAGTGTCATCTTTTAGGATGGAAGCACACCTCCAGGTGCGAGAGAACGCAGGAGCGCCCTGCAACCCCTGAGGAAGGCGGTGCGTCTGCCAAGCAGAGTGTGTGTGGTGCCTCATGCTGTGTGTGTGCGGGCATCGCTGTAAACACAGTGTGGCCAGGGTGGGTGCAGAGGCTGTATGCGATGTTACATCGATGACGTTAGGTCTGGTCTGGAAGTTTTGATTGAGGCAAACTTCAAGGGAGTGCATGCTAGAGCCCTTCTCTCTACCCTTCCTTCTTCCTTCCTCCATCCAGTCACGGTTAGAGCCTTCCCTGGGACCTTCAGTGTTGGTTGGAAATGCCGCGTCCTGCTAGGCCCTTCTGCTGGGCTGCATGGTCATGGAGCTTCTGCTGTGCAGAAGCAGCGATTCGATGTGGCCCCCTTTGCTGGCTTTTGGCACCCTCGCCTGTGCAGCTGGGCTTCAGGAAGTCCTTGCCACACCTACGACTTCAGTTTTGCCGACCCGATCTCCCAGCAGGCTAAGTGTCTGTGCCCTAGTATTTGGCTGTCGGATCTGTTTTGATTTTAGTTTATGAGCGCTGTGGGCCTAGCCTCAGCCTTCTGCGTGTGGTTTTCTAGTTCTCCCAAAAATCATTTAGTAAAGAGACTGTGTTGATTACGTATGCTGCCGCTTTACGGAACTTGTTTGTCAGTTTTAGCAGTCTTTTGGTGGAGTTTCGGGGGTTTTCTGTATAAAGAATCATGTTATCTGTAATCAATAAATAAGGCGTACTGTTTCTCTTTCCCACCTAGGGCCTGGTCATTGAGCGGCTGGGGCGGAGACCTCTCCTCATCGGTGGCTTCGGGCTGATGACACTCTTCTTCAGCATCCTCACCGCCACGCTGACTCTGCAGGTGAGCCCTTGACCTCCAGGCCGCGTAGTGTGGCGCTGGTGCCCGATTTAGCCACTCTGGGGCCTTTGGTTCGGGGCTCCATCCTACCTGCAGATAGTTCCTGCAATCCAGTTCTTACAGCTGCTGGGGGCTTCGGCAGTGGGTCCTTCCACTTGGAGACAGGAGACTTGCTTCCGGTTGTGTAACTGCTGCTGATGAGTTGTGGAGTGCTAGGCAGGATATGGCCCCTCTCTGAGCCTCCATTGAACAGAGGATGGCCCATAAGGTGCCCATTCCAGCTGTCCCCTTCCAGTGGGGCACAGGATCGCCCCATCTGCTGGCCCCCAATCATTGCCTCCTTGCTGGAAGGTTGCCAGCAGCAGCAGCTCTTCCGCTTCCTGGCTGGCAGGCTTTGGGCAGACACTTGCTGGTCTGCTTCCCTCAGGGCACCTTCTCCAAGTGGGGACACTCACCCTTCGCCCCAGGACACTGTGAAGTGTGCACTTCAAATGCACACGCAGCCTCTGGAGCAAGTGTTCAGGGAGGCAGGCTTGCTGGGGACAGACAGTGACGCCCTTCACGTCACACACCGATAGTCCTCCTCCCCTGGAGACGAGCGGCACAGCTGTCGGTGCATGAGCTGTCCGCAGCGACTCGACTGAGTGTGGACCGAGCTGGGGTCTGCCCCAAGTCCCAGCTGTCCTCCTCACCCCGGCTCTGCATCACCTGAGCCCTTGCTCAGTCTCCACCCGTCGGCAGCAGCAATGGGTTGCGGTCAGTGGAGTTGTGGGTGCTTTTCAAGGACAGCTCCTGACACTGAAGGTTGCTCATGTCCTCGCCAAATGCCTTAGCACTGCAGGCATTTCCAGCCAGAGGCGATCATGGGATGGTAGCACCTGAGGGACACGGACTGCAGAGAGCAGGTGTTGGGGACAGGTGGACGGAGGAGGGAAGGCATTATGTGTCAGCAGGGACAGTTTCCTCCCAGTAGCCAGGCTCTAGGTTGTCCTCAGAGGCTGGCTTCGAAGGCTCCTTGACACTCAGGGTTTGGAATAAGCCACTGAGAGCTGGGTGTGGAGGTGCAGAGCCCTGTCCCAGCACTCTGGGAGGCAGAGGCAGGAGGATCACAAGTTAAATGTAGCTCAGTGTGGAGGCCCTGGGTTCATTCCTCAGTACCAAAGGGTAGGGCTGAGGGGAGCCACTCAGATGTCCCAGGACATTGTGCTTTTGTCACCTATGCCAGAGGTTTTGAAAGGGCTGCCTGGAGCACACTGCAGGGGTATAAATGTGGTAGCTAAGAAATGCTTGCAATGTGATGATGCCTACAAAACTCCTGCTGCCGCCTGCCTCAGATGAAGCACCGTGTCAGGTGAGTTGTCTGCTTGTTTCCCACTTGCTGCTTGCCAGGGACTCTGCAGAGCTCTCGCAGATATTTTCCCCTCGCCCCTTACCCTGGTGACATAAGTGGGTGTCTGCATTTCCTCCACGTTCTGGAAATCGAATGTGGAACCCAGGACAGCACGTGACTCCATCGAAGATCAGGCAGGTGTACCCTGAGCAGGACCTGCAGTGGGGTCCTCCGTGCCCCGATGTCACTGCCTCCTTACCTGCTGCCCTCTGCCCTCCTGCAGGACCGCGCCCCCTGGGTCCCCTACCTCAGCATCGTGTGCGTCCTGGCTGTCATCGCCTCCTTCTGCAGTGGCCCAGGTAGGCATTTCCCGCCTCGTGGTGAGGCCAGGGGCTCAGTACCACTACCAAGGTGGGTGTCACCCTCGTATAGGGGGGAGCCCAGAGCCCAGAAGGAAGCAAAGTCTTGCGAGGGGTAAGGGCTTGTCCCCTGCCTGTCCCTGGACTCCGTGTAAGTGGAGTTGGCTTTCCATCCTTTGGTGGGTAAGTAGCAGGCTACTCCAAAAGCAAGCAGGTGCCAAGGTGAATAACAAAAGGACAGTTTACTCCAGGAGAACTACAGACCAGATGCAGACTGGCTTGTCATAAATCAAAGAGAATCAAAGTGCGTTCAGTGTCTGGGTTAGTGGGGAAGAATCCACAGCGAGGGGGTCTCAGATGTGTGCACCCCAAGAGCAGCTCTACTCTGCTGAGAACTGGGTGTGCGTTCAAGGCTGCTGACAGTCCTGCAGAGGGTGCACAAGGAGGCAGCTTCAGGGTGCGCAGGTGACCTGCCCAGCACGGACGGGGCCCAGATTTTACTTGTGTTCATAACCCCAAGGCGGCAGCAGAGACGTATGTACACGAGGCACAGGAGAAGAGCTTTGCCTTCGATGCAGACATGATGGTCTCCAGCACATCGGTTCCAGTCTGAAAATTTCATTACGGGCCGACTGCGTGCCTGGCACCAACTGAGCCCTCGAAGGGGAGTTTGTGTCCCTTCAGCAAAGGATGGCTGCAGACTTCACTCACCTTGATCCTAAAGGCACGGTGGGGACCTGAGTGTTGCAGAAGGCCCTGAGGGGTGCCAGGTCTTCTAGCCCACGCCAGCCTTATCCTGTTGGGGTCATCTGGAAATGTGTGCATCTGCGGGGACCCCTCCCCACCCCCACCCGTGCACTCTCCCTGTGCCCGAGCTGCTTTAACCATCAGCTGCACACATGCACACACACACACTCACTGACACAGTTGCATGATCCCAGCCTTTGCCCCGCCCCACCACCCAGAACACCTCCCTGTCCGTCCTTCTGAACAATGCTTGCTGTGTTTTAAAACTAAGCTCCTGCTGCCCCCCAAGCCTGTCTTAGAGCAGATGGCCTGTGACTGCAGCCCCTGCTTTATCCTGCTGTGGCTCTCAGAGCTTCGTTCTCCAATGCCTGGGATGGCCTGAAGGATAGAGACTGTGCGCGCTTCGCTCTGTTACCGCTCAGGGGTTAGACCTGCTCACTGCACAGTGGAAGCCAGCTGGGCAAGAGGCAGCGCATGCTAGGGAAGGAGCTGTGCTGCAGCGGTGAGTTAGCGTATCCAGAAATGTCCGTGCTTAGGGCCCGCCGAAGAGCTCAGCAGATTAAAGCGTGTGCAAGCAGGCGCAGAGGCCGGGGTTTATCCCGGGCCTGCCATGCTGGCCCCGCCCCTGGGATATGCTGAGACAGCAATTGAGACTGGGCGTGGTGGCGCGCACCTGTAATCCCAGCTCTTGGGAGGCTGTAAACAGGCGGATTACTACGAGTCCGATCTAGTAGTGAGACCCTGTAGACCCTTCCCCCCCCCAAAAAAAAAAAAAGTTCAGCACTCAGGCAACCACCACACACAGAGCGCTTGTACAGATGTGTGGAAGTGCGCTCTTAGCCACAGCCAGGGAGGCACTCACGGAGTCCTCGCCCTGCGGAAGTCCATCCCCTTGTGGACATTCTGATAGCATCTGCAGGTTGCTAGGTATGACAGGGCTCCGTATGTCTAAAGATGACTGACTAGGAGGTCCTGTGGCAACCATTCATCTTGGTTCTGATGCTGTCTACTGAGACCACATGCAGACCCCACGAGCTAAGGTCCCCCCATTCCCACTAGTCTGTCCCCACTTCTGCCAAAAATAGGATCCTTGGGAAACCTACACTCTGTCCTTCTGGTGCAACCAGTGGTTCCCAAGACCCCTGGTGAGGTTTCGTAAGTGCCTCGAGTGACTCGGAACTCAGGAAAATGCTCTACTTAGAGTTACAGCCTTTTAAATAAAGGATACAACTCAGAGCTGCCACGTGGAGGAGACGTACGGGGCAGGGTGAATGCGGAGCTCCAGAGCCTGGACGTCTGCCCCCCACCCCCACCCTCAGGGATTGCATCCTTGAGGCACAGATGAGCCCATCACTGGGCACTGGTGACTGAACGCCTCCTCCTGGAGACCAGGGATGGAGCTGCAAGCCCCACTGCCATAGCAGGGACAGCATCTGCCTTGAAACTGTCTAGGGCCACCTTCATTGTGAAGTCACCTGTCGCCAGGATACACTGAGGCTCTTGGAGCGCTGGCCTGGGCACAAAGGTCAAATAGACTGGCCTTTGCTAGCACAGCTCTGATGGACCCTGGGCCAGGAGGTAGGGTCGGAGTGACCACTGAGGCTATGTCCCGCCCATGGAGGAGCACAGGCAGGGCAGGACCACCTAGGTAGCCCGGCACCAGGGTCCCTCACCACAAGTGGCCACAGAGGTTCTGAAGGAGGGGACAGGGCTGGTACAGGAGCCTTCCCAGGCTCAGCTGGGCACTAAGAATCCTGGCAGACTCTCAGCAGGAGCCCCTGAGATTGAAAGGCAGGGGAGAGGCCAGCCCTGCCCAGCAGACCCTGAGACCCACCTGGCAGAAGGCAGAGGGAAGAGAGGCGAAGGAAATACCCAAGGTGGCACTCTTGGTTGGCATTAACTGGATGCCAGGCATGTTCCACCCTTCCAGGTAGAAGGAAAAGGAGCACCGCACACTCCCTGCCCCCAGAAGGCTTGTGGGGAAGCAGACCTGGCAGTTGACGAAGCACGCCGAGGTCATGGCTTATCCAGACACAACCTTTTCATTCTGTCTGAGAAGTGAGGCCCGTGATTTCACAGCCAGGCAGGGCAGGGAGAGACCAGGCTCTTTCCACCGCCCCTAGATCCCTGGTTGGGTCGGGGACTGTGGCAGCTGGCTGTGAGCTCTGCTTAGCAGCCTCCCGAGCCCAGGGAGGGACTCACTCAGCACACCGAGGCTTCTGCGGCCACTCACCACATCCTGGGGCAGCCGGCAGAGAGCCACCTCGCACGTGCCCTGTGGCGCAGGTGCTCGGCATGCCTCCTTATTGAAGGAATGAATGAATGAATGCACAAAAGAGGGCAGGAACCCCACACAGTGTGGCCTGCACCCCAGAGCATGGACAGGGATCCGCGCAGGTGACGCTGCCTGAGGAAGTTCTATGCAAAGTGGATGGCAAGCAAATTAATCGCTAGCTTTTCTGGCTGAGCAGAGATCATTAGGTGGAGGAAATAGATGTGTGCCCAGTAAAAGAATCACAGATACAAACTAAGAGACCCGCCTGGGTGCCAAATGGGCAAACAGTTACAATGTTTGAAAAGCAGATCCACATAAGGCAAAACAATTTCTCGGGATGCCTTGATCTCTGTGAAAGGAACTCGTGCAGAGGTGAGGCCTGCTGCTAGCATCACAGCAGAGATTCCTAGCAGCCCCGGCATTCGCGCCCGAGGCCACAAGGGTCTTGGAGACGGGCTGACCTTCCTGAAGCTCCCCGTGGGCACCTGAGTGTCCTAGAAAGCCCAGGGCCCCGGAGAGATGATCCCGCGAGGCAGTCTGCTGGGACCTCGAGGGTGGTTGTGTGAATGGACCGCTCACAGGGGCCAGAGCAGGGGAAGGAGCCCGTGAAAGGAGTCCAGACAGCCCGGAAAGAGGTGGAGCTGGGGCAGAGAGGGTTCCCTCAGAGCCAGGGGACAGAGACCCCACCGTGGGCCTCCTCCCAGGGCTCCAGGCCCTGCCTGTGCCCTGTGGCCAGCCTAGTGGTCGCTGTAGACCCCAGGGATGCAGAGCAGGCTGGGAGTGTTGGGGTGGGCGGCAGGCAGGGTGAGGAAACAGACGCCAGTTCAGACTGTTACGTTGCTGCTGTATTTGCCATTGGTGTCGAGCAGCTTCCCGTGACTGTAACAAAATGCCTGAGATACGCATCTGCAAGGAGAAAGCAAGCCTGTGCTGGCTTGCAGTTTGGTGAAAGGGGAAAGATTTATACGATCTGAAGAGAAACCAGAGTATACAGCTCACAGTTTAGAAAGTTCCTGCCCAGGATCAGTTGGCTCCGTTGCTCTGGGGTCCCGCAGGCCCCAGCAGGAGCACTCCTGAGCGGCCCAGAGGCCTTCAGCTATAAGCTGCCCTCCCAGTAGCCGCATGCGGGGACCAAGCCTTCAGGCTCCAGCTGTAGCACGTCAGCTCCACTTAGCTAGTTCCCTACACTGTTTGGATTGAGAGGTTCCTCTTCTACTTAGAACTTACCGTATTCTTGTTTATTTATTTTTATTTTGTATTCCAAAAGTAGTTGCATTTGATTCCGTGAGAGGCCATTATAAATGACCACAGACCGAGTACCTTAAAATTTATTTTCTCACAGATTTGGAAGCTAACAGTGCAAAGCCAAGGTGTCACCAGGGTCCAGCTCCCTCCACAGGTCCCAGAGGGACCCACAGGCCTGGTCCACCTCCTTAGCTTGCTGAGCCTTGGCATTTGGCAGCGGGACACCAGCATCGGCCTCCGTATTCCCACAGCTTCTCCCGTGTGTCCTCCCCGCTCCCAGGGCCTGCCCCCTAAGGACACAGCCATCGGGGCTGGGACACCATGCTGCTTCTTACCTGCACAGACCCTCTTCCTAATCAAGGTCACATTCCCAGTACCAGAGGCCAAGACTTCAGCTCATTCTTGTGGGGACACAGTCCAGCCTACAACGGTGACACACGTGCCCGGGAGGAAACTTTAAAATACAGCTATTTTCTAAGGGAAATATAAACGCCTCTACTCCCTTCTCGGACAACGATGATTAACACTTAATATTGCACCAGGTAGGATTTAGGGAACACTTGCAATGTACTGAGAATCATGTGGAGCCCTTTATGGGGATACTTTTGCTTTATCTTCCGAACACCATATGAGGTACATTTTATGATCTTCACCTTACAGATGGTAAAAATGAGGCTGAGAGGTTACATAAGTCATGCACAAGTACTCGGGGGCTTGTGAAAAGCAGGATAGT